AGAGCTGGGATTTGAACCAGGCCATCTGGCTCCAGAGTCAGTGATCCTAACTGATACATCACACTGGAGCAGTGCCTTTAAATTAAAAGGGAAAAGAAGAGCTTGCTCAAGAGTTTGAGCTCTGAGCAACAGCGGTTCAAGTCCAGCCCGAGCTGAGCAGCCGCTGAGCTGCCAACAGGTAGCAGGATGGCTCAGCTAAAAAAAAATAATAATAAAAATAAAATAAAAGGGAAAAGTACATCCAACCCAGAATTATATATCCAGCCAAGTTATCAATAACTGGGAAAGTAAAGACATCTTTAGATGTGCATGTTCTCAAAAAATATACCTCTCCTACACCCTTTCTTAAAAAGCTACTAGAGGAACAATAAATAGTGTATGATTCCACTTATGTGAGGTACCTAGAAATACATGGAGACAGAAAGTGGAACTGTGGTTACCAGGAGCTGGCGGGAGGTGACAATGGGGAGTTGTTAATGGTAGAGAGTTTCAGTTTGGGAAGATGAGAAAGTTCTGGAGAGGATAGTGGTGATGGTTGCACAATAATGTGGATGTATTTAATGCCACTGACCTGTATACTTAAAAATAGTTAAAATGGTAAATTTCATGTTATGTTTACCAAAAGGAAAGAAAAAGCTATTAGAGGAGAAGGCACTCCACCAAAATGAGGGAGTAAACCAAGAAAGAGGAAAGTTGCGATTCAGAAAGCAAGAAATCCAACTCAAGAAGAGCAAGACAAAGGAAATCTCCAGGAAAATAATGAAGGGAGATTCCAAGATAGGAGCTGTGCAGTAGGCTCGGAGAACAGCCATTCCATGTTGAAGCAGGTCAGAAAGTTCCAGGAGGGATGTCTCCAAAAAGATGCAATTGATAGAAAACAATGTTTTCTGAACTTACTGAGATGATATCTAGCCAATCGGGAGAGAATTTGAGGCTAAATTAATAATTACATAAAAACCTAAGTAAACAAATAATTATTATTCTTGGGAAAAATTAAAGTTGTGGTGAAAAAGAACAGTAATTTTGGTATTTTTGTAGTACATGGCTCAGCAGTGAATCACATGTATCTAGTCATCATAATGTGAACACTAATATTTATCTAACCAAACTTATGATAGAATTACATCAAAATGGAGGTGTGCCAGGGTGGGCAAGTGAGGGCGAAAGCTAGGTTCTTATATACCTTAAGGGAAATCAATAGATAATGCCTAAAAGAGAAAAACCAAGAAGTGGTTTAGACATATGTGTTAAATACCACCACCACCCCCCTCCCCGCCAAAAAAACCAAAAAACTGAAAGACTTAAAAGAAATCGCCTCCAAGAAGCAGAAAATTGAGAAGGTGGAGTGGTTTGGAAACTGCTGTTATCAAACTCAAGAGATTGGCAGCTTGGTGTGTTCTATTTGAGAACAAGCTGTGGTTGTCTTTTATTTACTTGCAGCAAGTAAAAGAGATAGGGGATTCACATTTAAAGCTCTGTCTCCCTGAGGGGGAGGCTTAGCCATTGCTTATATACACTATTTGGTTAATTACACGTTGATTTCTTCTTTGCAGTTGGCTACACTTATCAGGTTGGGCTCCTGTCAAGCTCATCCTGTTTACAGCTGGTCTGTAAAACACTGTGCTACATTTTAACATTTAGCAAGAATAGCATTTAGTAAGAATGGCCCAGACCTTGAGATCTTGGTCCTATCCAACATTGTTATTTATTTATTTATTTTTTAGTGCTAAACCTAGTAAAGTTACATTACTCTGTAAACCATGTGGATGTGTAAGTTTGGTAAAAATCAAAATTAAGTTTTTAAAAGGAAGATAGTACAACTTAAAGATCCTGCAGATGATCCAGCAACGTCTGTTTCTACCTCTTTTTCTTAAGTCAAACTTACTTTTTTCCAAGCAGTAGTTCTCTGTATGACTCCTCCATTGTTCTCCGCCACTGGACACACATTTTCATAAAATGGGCTTTTGTGAACTAGCTAGGGAACTTAACGGTTGCTTACATTACTTCTCTGGAGACGTGTATTTCAAGTTGTAACCAAACGACTTCTAAAAAATACTTTCAGAACTCCTCCTGTTTATTAATTAGGGAATGCGTTATCCTTTCCCCTAGGACTTGACAACACAACTGGAAAGACATTTGAAAAACCAGAGCACGTTGCCACTGCATTCAGCACTGTGCCAGTTGTTTGGTAAAGTCAGGGAGTGGTGTGGCTGCTGGAAAAAGAAGGATCAGCAGGGAGAACCATCAGCATAGATTTTGTCAAAGAGGCTCAATTCAAGCTGAACCTCCAAAGATGGATCGTAGCTTGTATAAATGGTGATATCAATCAAGACTCTTTATGCAAGTGACAAGTACTCAACCCAAACTAGCTAAGCCAGAAACAGAATTTTTTGGCTCACCTAAGTAGGACATCCCAAGGGGTCTGGCTTTCAGGCAAAGATTGATCCTGAGCCCAAAAGTGTTGCTA